ATTCTGAATATATTTCTTAAGAAAGCAGTGCACTTCTGTATAAACTGAATTTGTCTGTGTTTCACAGGCTGGGGCCACGTCAATGTGGGCTTCATGTTGTGGTCTGCTGAATGAAGTAATGGGTACTGGGACAGTGCGTGGCCAGCAACCTGGGTTTAGTGGAGGTACAGGTCCGTTCAGATTTGCCCACAGCACAGGATACTCTTCATATCCCTCACCAATGCCAGAAGTCCAAAATATAGTCTGTAAAGGCTGCGGACAGGCCTTTTCTCTTTTTAGGAAGAAGGTGAGTTGAGTAAACTTCTTACTAAATTTGCTCTACATCTAAATTGGTATCAATAGGCAAGGGAAGAGAGGAGGGAAAATTTTTTTAAAAATCATGAATTTGCAGCAGATCTTATGTTAACTGATAATGACTAAAGCTTCTATTTATATTGAGTCTTTAATATAGAACTTGGATTTAAAAATGCCCATTTGCTCATTATAATTGTGAAAAAGTTTTGAAAGGAATGCGTCAGATGGTATGCATATAATTTAGTAAACTGAAGTGCATTCACAATATACATAGCAAGCACTTGCAGTAATTTTAATTCAAACCAAAGTGCTTAGCAATTTATATACAGTCTTTGTAGTTCTTTGCTATCATTGCTAAGCTGGCTGACTGTCAAAATGTCTTGCTTTTTTTCTACTTCTAACACAGTTTTTACAGTTTACTCTAATTATTCCTCAAAAATATATACTTTTTCCAATTTTACTACCTGATACAAAAGAAAGCATAGCCCTGCTCCTAATATTCACTGATAATTATCTGTTCAGTGTAGAATAGAAATTCATTGCAGCTAGTTTACATGATTTCGGGATCCAAATAAAGCAAAGTCCCTCGTGATCAATCATAATGCACAATGAGCAAAAGTACAGCAAAGTAATCTAAATAGCCATATATCATGTTTTGTCCTTCTTTTGCTGTATGTTTCTGAATTGAAGCAGGTAGAGATGCTCTCGGAAGGATAGAAAGGAGCGCAAGAGAGGAAGCGCTGTGGCGTTTTTGATTAAGGATAACATTACTACTGTACTTAGGGAGGATATCCCTGGGAATATGTCCAAGGAAATTATTTGGGTGGAACTGAGAAATAAAAGTCTATGATGAGGTGAAATTAAACATCAATAGTGGAAGTAGGCTTACCTTATTGGGATTGTGCTATAGACCCCCCAGTAGTCAGCGGGAAATTGAGAAATAAATTTGTAAAGAGATCTCAATTATCTGTGAGAATGAAAAGGCTGTTATGGTAGGGGATTTTAATTTTCCAAACATAGACTGCCATAGTGTTAAGGGCCTGGATGGAGAGGAATTTGTCAAGTGTGTGAACAAAATTTTCTGATTCAGTATGTGGATGTACCTACTAGAGAAGATGCAAATCTTGACCTACTGTTGGGAAATAAGGCAAAGCAGGTGCATGAGGTGTCAGTGGGGAAGCACTTTGGGGCCAGTGACCATAATTCTATTAGTTTTTAAAATAGTGATGGACAAGGATAGACCAGATCTAAAAGTTAAAGTTCTGAATTGGAGGAAGGCCAATTTAGAAGGTATTCGGCAAGAACTTTCAAAAGTTGATTGGGGGCAGATGTTTACAGGTAAAGTGACAGCTGGAAAATGGGAAGCATTCAAAAATGAGATAATGAGAGTACAGAGACAGTGTGTTCCTGTTAGGGTGAAGGGCAAGGCTTGTAGCTGTAGGGAATGCTCGATGACTAGAGAAATTGAGGTTTTGGTCAAGAAAAAAAAGGAAGTATATGTCCGGTATAGACAGCAGGGATCGAGTGAATCCCTAGAAGAGTACAAAAGCAGTAGGAATACACTTGAGGGAAATCAGGAGGGGGAAAAAAGGAGATATAAAATAGCTTTGACTGACAGGGTTAAGGAGAATCCAAAGGGATTCTACAAATACATTAAGGACAAAAGGGTAACTAAGCAGCGAATAGGGTCCCTTAAAGATCAGCAAGGCTACCTACATGTGGAACCGTAGGAGTTGGGGGAGATATTTAAAAGAGTATTTTGCATCAGTGTTTACTGTGGAGAAGGATATGGAACATAGAGAATGTGGGGAAGTAAATAGTGACATCTTGAAAAATGTCCATATTACACAAGAGGAGATGGTGAATGTCTTAAAATGCATAAAGGTGTATAAATCCCCGGGACCTGATCAGGTATGCCCTAGAACTCTGTGGGAAGCGAGGGAAGAGATTGCTGGGTCCCTTGCTGAGATATTTGTATCATCGATAGCCACAGGTGAGGAGCCGAAAGACTGGAGGTTGCCTAATGTTGTGCCACTATTTAAGAAAAGTAGTAAGGAAAAGCCAGGGAACTATAGACAGGTGAGCCTGACAGCACTGGTGGGCAGGTTGTTGGAGGGAATCCTGGGGGATAGGATTTACATGTATTTGGGATGGTTAACATTGCTTTGTGCCTGGGAAATCATGTCACAATTACTTGAATGAGTTTTTTGAAGAAGAAACAAAGAGAATTGATGAGGTCAGAGCAGTGGACATGATCAATATGGACTTCAGTAAGGCGTTCGAAGTTCCTTGTGGTAGACTGGTTAGCAAGGTTAGATCACATGGAATGCTGGGAGAACTAGGTATTTGGATACAAACTGGCTGAATGGTAGAAGACAGAAGGTCGTGGTGGTGGAGGGTTGCTTTTCAGCCTAGAGGCCTGTGACCAGCAGTGTGCCACAAAAATTGGTGCTGAGTCCACTGCTTTTTGTCATTTATTATAAATGATTTGGATGTGAACATAGGAGGTATGGTTAGTAAGTTTGCAGATGACACCAAAATTGGTGGTATAGTGGACAGTGAAGAAGGTTACCTCAGAGTACAATGACACCTTGATCAGATGGGCAAGTGAGCTGAGGTGTGGCAGGTGGAGTTTAATTTAGATAAGTGTGAGGTGCTGCATTTTGATAGGACAAATCAAGGCAGGACTTATACACTTAATGGTAAGATCCTGGGGAGTGTTGCTGAACAAAGAGACCTTGGGGTGCAGGTTCATAGTTCCTTGAAAGTGGAGTCACAGGTAGCTAGGATAATGAAGAAGGCGTTTGGTATGCTTGCCTTTATTGGTCAGTGCATTGAGTATAGGAGTTGGGAGGTCATGTTGCGGCTGTACTGGACATTGGTTTGGCCACTTTTGGAGTATTGCATACAGTTCTGGTCTCCCTACTATAGGAAGGACGTTATGAAACTAGAAACGGTTCAGAAAAGATTTACGAGGACATTGCCAGGGTTGGAGGGTTTCAGCTATAGGGAGAGGCTGAATAGGCTTGAGGCTATTTTCCCTGAATCATTGGAGGTTGAGGGGTGACCTTAGAGAAGTTTATAAAATCATGAGGGGCATGGATAGGGTAAGTAGCCAAGGTCTTTACCTCGGGGTGGGCATGTCCAAAACGAGAGGGCACAGGTTTAAGGTGAGAGGGGAAAGATTTAAAAGGGACCTAAAGGGCAACCTTTTCGCGCCGAGGGTGGTGCGTGTATGGAATGAGCTGCCAGAGGAAGTGGTGGAAGCTGGTACGATTGCAACATTTAAAAGGCATCTAGATGGGTACATGAATAGGAGGGCTCTGGAGAGATGTGGGCCAAATGCTGGCAAATGGGACTGGAGTTATACAGGATATTTGGTCAGCACAGATGAGTTGGACTGAAGGGTCTGTTTCTGTGCTGTATATCTCTGACTGTGCTTTTCTATGAAAGAGAGCCAGTCACAGAATATCAAATATATTTGCAAATCAAAATGTACTAATTTACTACTTGACAGTTTTTCATTAGTTTTTAAAGTATTAAATTTTTCCTGGAATACAATTCACATGCACCAAGGAAGCATTGAAATTTTACATAACTATTTATCTTTAATATGTTAGCATGCTACTGAATCACTGAAAGTATTCTGACTTTAATCCTGTGATCACCCAATATTCATACATTTCAAACAGTGATTGCTGGATCAGATGCAGGAAACCTGGTTGATCTGTTTCTTCATTAACTATGGAACTGGACAATTATGCTAACAGATTGAAATATGAGGCTGGACTTTATCCACAGCCCTGCTGGCAAACGGTGGGTAGCACCCCAAGGGAAAAGATTAACTCACCAACAGATAAGGTTTTAGAAATCTGAAGCACAAAAAGACTTTAGGAGTCCTTGTTCAGGAGTCTTTTAAGGTTAACATGTAGGTACAATTGGCAGTTAGAATGCAAATGCATTGTTAGCATTCATTTCAAGAGGGCCAGAATACAAGAACAGAGATGTGCTGCATTAGGCTCTGGTCAGACTGCATTTGAGATATTGTGAGCAGTTTTTGGCCCAGTATCTAAGGAAGGATAGCTTAGCTTTGGAGAGGGTCCAGGGGAGGTCTACCAGAATGATCCAGGGGATGAAGGGCTTGTCATTATGAGGAACGGTTGAGGATTCTGGACCTGTACTCAATGGAGTTTAGAAGGATGAAGGGGGATCTGATTGAAACTTATAGAATACTGATGGGTCTGGATAGAGTGGAAGTAGAGATGATGCCTCCACTATTAGGAGAGACTAGACCTAAGGGCATGGCCTCAGAGTGAAGGGACAACCATTTAGAACTGGGATGAGGAGGAATTTCTTCAACCATAGGATGGTTAATCTGTGAAACTCATTGGCACAGATGGCTGTAGAGGTTAATTCATTGGGCATGTTTTAAGACAGAGATGTATAGGTCCTTAATTGGTAAGGGGATCAAGGATTCTCAGGAGAAGGCAGCAGAATGGAGTTGAGAAACGTATCAGCCATGATTGAATGGGGGGAGCAGACTCGATGGGCTGAATGGCCTAATGTTGCTCCTATATTTTATGATCTTGATCAGCTGGAGATGTGATTTCTGCCAGTCCAGGGGGGATAGAACAAGATACATTCTGCATCACAGAACTACAGGCCACTCTGATGAACAGCTCCTTTGTCCCAGCAGTATTGTGAGAGTGTGCTGGTCACTGCTGCGACCATAGGCAATCCCAGATTTCACTAAGTCTAGCAGACCTCGATGAGGTGAGTGGATGATGAGAGCTGGATTTGAGGTGCTAGGGCAATGAGAGGAAGTTAAGGGGTTGTGTGATCTTTTGGTGAGGTGGATGCCTCCAAGGGGTACAGGAAACCTACCTTACCTGGTTAGTATGAGCCTTTCTCTGCCAAAAGTAAAATAGTTATGGTGGGAACAAGACCTTTAATTGGCTATTAGGGCACCTAAGGAGCTGAATAGGCCCAAAGGTGGTGGGCCTCCCAACTAATCCACTTCATCCACCTCGTCCATTCTGCTCAAAAAAATCACAGACTGGTGGGTGGGTAGGCATGGGGAAATCTCATGTTGGATTTTATGAGCTCCAACCCCCGCCCTCCTCCAAAGCTCCTAAGAGGAGAGCAGAAAGTCAAGCCCATGGTGCTAAAGCTGAAGTAACTGTAAATGACTGACCACAGTCTTGTACTCTCTAAATATAAGAAAGTAAGGGAAATAATTTCAGAGGTGAAAAGAAGACTGATTCCTAGGCAGTAAACCAAAGATCTGCATATGCTAGAAATCAAACAGACAGAAATTGCTGGAAAAACTCAGCAAGTCCAGCAGCTTTGAACCTGAAGCATTAACTCTGATTTCTCTCCACAGATGCTGCAAGACCTGCTGAGTTTCTCCAGCAATTTTTGTTTTTGTTTCTGATCACTGGGCAGTATTAGTCAAAATGTCTAAGCAGCTGCACATGGAGATATCGTAGATTAAGAATTTAGAGATCGGATACAGAGCTATAAAACTGTTGAGATGATTTGAATTTGATGCACCAATCAGATTCTTCACCTGTCTTTTTTAATGTCATAGTAAGTCATTTGGAAACTTTAAACAAATTTTGTTGAGGCTACAAAACAGAATCGACCAGCCCCTGATTCCTATCCAGTGATTCCTACTGGATGTGCAGATGTATGGACATTGAAAGGACTGATTTAAAGGCTGTTTATGGTCAAGCAGCTTTCTGCCTTGGCTGGCACATGGATAACTGTTTCACTGATGTATAAAAATGTGGAGACCATATTGCAGCTTGACTTCCTGTTCAAGGAAGACTAGGTGGGGAAGTTGGGACGGGAGAATAAAACAAAAATCAAGCGTGGAGAAATTCCGATCTGGCAGCATTTGTGGAGAAAGAAACAAAGGAACATTTTCGTCCAATATGACATTTCTTCAGAACTCAGCAAATAAAATGTATACACTGTAATAAAAAAAACAAAATTGTTGAATCCTAAGGAACTACAGTTTCTATAAATGTAACTGTTTTGAAAAATATATTTGGCATGGTTGGCCTGTTTACTGAATGACATCACATGGATGTGGTCTCCAACTGCCAAAGATTTTGGGGCGGTAGAATATTTCAGTTACTAATATTGCTCTTCAATATAGTTGCCCTTTCTAAGGGGTCAAACAGTAGCGTTGTTCTTGCAAATAGCTAAAAATCGACAAAACATTGCAATAAAGGCAAGTCCAGTTATTTAATTACAAATGTAAATTTTAATGCCTCTGTTACAAACATTTCTAGTTCTATTAGCTATTGGTAATTCAAATGTACAAGAAGGGTATTCAGAATATACTTTAGTATTTCACTAGTTGTTTTTTTCTATTAATGACTGACATAGACTGACTAGTTCTATTAGAACATTTTATGAAATGATTAGTAGTTTTCATTCCACTTGTTATGAACCTCCTGCTATATTTTATATTTGTATAATTAGGTTGTCACAGTTTTGTAGATGTTTCCCTTAAATTCTGAAGTTACTTGCTTAGAAGGAAACCTAGCATTACTGCTTTGATTGAACAGGTAAAGGGGCATGTAATAATTATGAAGGCTCATAAGTTTACAGCTATTGTTGAAAAATGGACAAATGCAAATTCAATCCAAAAATATATAATAGACAATTCACCATTCACTCATAAGTAACCAGAATCATGATATGTTGTACATTATATAGCACTATGTTGTTATAAAACAGATTACTGACTCACTGACGAGTGAAAATATTTACTTAGCTTTCTAAAAATAATTCTACCCTAACTTTACACATTTCTATTAGAATGCATCTTAACCTTCATTTAGTGGAGATGTGGTCTAAGATTGTATACTGTAGTTGTTTAACTATAGAGGGGCTTAGCTGGTGAAGTGCACTCTCTAAATGTATTTGTCTTTTGTTTACCAGTATGTATGTAAGGACTGCAAGAAGAATTTCTGTTCGTTCTGTTCAGTAATGCAAGAAAGTCTACGAAGATGCTATACGTGCCAAGTGTTACAACAGACTTCCTTCCAGCGTAATGAGCTTATGAAAATAAAGGTTAAAGATCTACGCCAGTATCTAACCTTAAGAAATATACCCATAGAAACATGTCGTGAAAAAGAGGACTTAGTACAGCTTGTATTGAGCCATCATGAATCAGATGCTGATGGATCAGACACAGAGAATATTCGTTCACCAAGGTCTGAGAGTTCACAATTTTATACTACCCCTCCTTCCTCTGCATCAGCATCAGCAGCATCATCTTCTCAGGGGATTTCCTCCAATGAAAGACCCACCTCAGGAACTCCAAACATGCATCAGGTAGGTAACTTTTCAAATGTATTGAATTTTGTTTTTGAGAAAGAGATAACTGTCTTTTTAAAAACGCATTCAGAATACAGTTATGTTTTTTAAAAATAGTCTTAATTTGCTGATTTTTCAGTATTCTTAAGCAACTAAGAGTATAAAAGCAGTAATGTTTGTAACCAAGTAGATATGCACTAATAGCATTCTTGAATACATTGGAACAGTTTACCAAAACATGAATATGTATTTTTCTCCAAGATTTAGGAGACTTTTTTTTTATTTTTCTCATCTACAGAGTTGATCAAACCCATTGTGGACATCATTCTTGTGCATTTTGTCATTGTATCCTAGAATTTCATGCAGTGCTTACATTAAGATATTTTCAGAGGTGGAAAAGGCCATTAAGGAGCACGTGGTTTGTAATTAGAAGAACACAAATTCTAGAGCATAAGAACAGGCTATTCGTATCAAGTTGTTTAAAGTCATTACTATATTTATAATCTGACGAAGCTGCCTCCCACTCTTACCACCTCGTCAAGTATACCTTTGTTCCTTTCTCTGACATGGATGAAATGCAACAATACTGTACGTTTGAATTACCCATGTGGCTTCATGTTCCATATTCTCATCACTGTTGAAGAAATTACCCCTAAATTCTTTATTTGATCTATTACATCTTAGTTAGCAGGATGGCTGGTTTGTGATATGGAATGATGCCAACAGCATGGGTTCAATTCCCATACTGGCTCAGTTTGCCATGAAGGATTCTCCTTTCAACCTCTCTGCCGGCCTGAGGCATGGTGACCACCATTGGTCGTCTCTGTGACGAGAGTGCAACTTCGTGGTCCGGTAAAACTATGGTGATTTTATCTTTTTATATACTTGTAGCACTTCATTTTTAATGTTCCCTTAGTTTTGCACAGTCCTAGTGTTACAAATAGTTTGCCCACATTTCACATATTAATCTCCTCCATAAGTTTAATGACCTTTGTCAATTATTTTCCTTCAGCTTTTCCCTTTTGTGAAAGAAATGACAAAGCCTGCTAAGTTTTTACTGCTCTCTTGTGTCTTCTCAATTCTGGTAACATCTTTGTGAGGATGGCATTGGTCAGTGAACACAACAGGTATGGGATGATTAGCTGTATTTTCCCCCTGTGTTTCAAAATCTTTTTCTGTTTTGCAACGCTAGTTGAGAAAACAGCAAAAATCCTGTACCTGTTATACTCAATATTTCCACTCTTCCCTAATTTTCTTGACCTCTTACCTTTGTAACTGAATACAAAGGACATCAACTGACTTTCTGGGTGTTTTTACATAACAAAAGTAGTGATATTAACTATCAATGTGATCTGATGCAATCATCATCAGTCTAAATTATACTTTTAGATTAATATTGAAAGTCGGAGCATCTGTGAGTTTTCTTCACTATATTCATTTAATACTATAAGCTAAGAAATCATCATTTGATCCTCAAGTTTGTACAGCCAGGAGTTCATAGAAAATTGTTTTTGTAGTTATAATTTCTTTGACATATGTGTCTGCTTGTACTGGTTTTCTTTTCTCTTTGAACATGCATGTTCTATAGCCTAGCATCCATTCCTTTGTTTCATATGGTCTTGTTAATCTAATTAACTTATTCTGGCTTCTTTCTGAATTACACTTTATATTAGAATGAAATAGTCCATGTCATTTTATCACAAGAAACTTTTGTCAGATAACAACGACCCAGCTCTGGCTATTTCTTTGATTCAAAAAGGCCTTTTTTCAGTCAGAGACTGCTTCCCCATGGCAAGCTGATTGTATCCCTTTGGAATAACTGCAAAGATTCTTGTCTGCTCTTCAAGCTACGTTACTTCAAAGCTGAACATTTTCTAAATGGCAGTTCTGCTGGTTTTATCTGTGAAATACAAGTCAACTATTATTTGAAAAAACAATCAGCAGCAAAGTAGCAGCATTCAGTGCTGATCTCAAAGAAATTTGCCGACAAAGACTTCATGATCTCCGTAATGTCAGTTTCCCCTTGCCACTAATTTGGCACAAGTCAAAGAATCTCCAGGCATTTAACAATAGTAGTGTCATTGAGGCATGGGAAGCAGCCAATCACATTGATGAATTCTCAAACTGAAAAATAGAAGGTAAAATATCTTGCCTTTTCACAATTTAGTTATAATTTTAAAATGTGAAATACATGATTGGGTGTTACACATGGAATTATGGTAGAAGCTGAAATATCAAACTTTTAAAAATTTAAATGTGAAGTTTTTAATGGGTAAGTCCAAAGATGTGCGGGTTAAGTGGATTGGCCATGCTTATTTGACCATAGTGTTCAGGGATGTGTAGGTTAGGTGCGTTAGCTATGGGAAATGCAGGAAAAAAGGGTAGGGGGATGGATCTAGGTGGGAAGGTCTGTGTGGACTTGTTGGGCCAAATGGCTTGTTTCCACACTGTGCGGAGTCTATGAATTCCTTTAAGAAAGAGTTAGACATCCCATGAAAATCTGAGGATGCAAGCCGCTTGGTTATGTGTTAATAGACAAGGCAGGGATGCTGTGAGCAAGCTGGTGGGTACCAAGATAAGTGCAAAGAAAGCAAGCAAATGGCCCTGAGATGCACTCTAGTCCAGTTTGTGAGTTGGGTGCTCCATGCACAAGGTGTCACTGCTGCAAGCTTTCAATGCAAATTGTTGGTGCACCCTGCACTGCAAATCTGCGTAGTAAAATTGATACTGTGTCGTAAAAGTGCCAGGATGGACTTGATGGATTGGTAGATTGTGGATGCAAATGTCCGTGGAGGAGGATTGTGTTCTGAAATATTGCTAGCAATTTGTCCATCATGGAGGTCATTTGGAGCAAGAGGTCATTTGTCAGAAATGCTCTCTGGTTTCCTTGTTGAGTTTTCCTGATGTTGAGCTTATTTGCCAAGTTTTGTAAAACGGGAGTATGACTATTAATGAGGCTAGTTGTGATGTCAACAAGGTATCATAGGATCCCAACAGTGTGGAAACAGACTATTTGGCCCATTGAGTCCACCCTGACCCTCTGAAGAGCATCCCACCTCGACCCACCCCTCTACCTTATCCCTGCAACCCTGTATTTTCCATGGCAAATCCACCTAGTCTGCACATCCCTGGACACTATGGGCAATTTAGCAAGGCCAGTCTACCTAACCTGCACATCTTTTGGAATGTGGGAGGAAACCAGAGCACCCGGTGGAAATCAACACAGACGTAGGAAAAATATGCAAACTCCACACAGACAGTTGCCCAAGAGTGGAATCAAACCCGGGATCCTGGCAATGTGAGGCAGCAGTGCTAGCCACTGTGCCATGTCCCAGGTGCTTACTGATCAATAATAACCATCAATTGGCATCTCAGCACTGTCTAGCAAGAATTTTGCCATGCTGCTTATGAAAAGCAAAAAAGATGGTGCGATTAATGGGCCCAGCTATACTTGTAGCCCTGTTCTGCCACACATCTTGCCATAGCATGGAGCCCTATAAAATTCTGCCCATTGCCTACCACAAATCATGTGGCTAGACTGTAGATTTATATCTAGTCTTTTGTTGGATTGCTTAGTTCTGTCAATTGCATGCTGTTTGGCATGCATGTAATCCTGTGGCATCGCCTTGTCAGTTTGACAACATATTTTTAGGTATGTCTCATGCTGCTTGTGAAATGCCCTCCTGTACTTTTTGTTCTTCTGCTTCCTATATATCACTATCGCTACTTCAGGGTGGGTCTGCCCTGGCAGTTTGATATACCCAGTGGCAGTGGTGTCTGGGGACATTAGCCTTAGTCTAGTAAACTGACAGGCAATGCAAGTTATCTTCACTAATCTTACAAGGTAGTGTTATGAAGATTTTTATCTGAATACTAATTAGAATATCATTAGATATATATCTAAAGCTTGGACTTTTTGAAATGACTGGCTGACTGCAATGGGGAAAATGCTGCATTAATGAAGAAGACAGACTCTTTGACTGGAGTTGCTCAGTCTACAATACTTTCTGAGAGACGCACATAACACCATTTTGTGTGTAATAAAGCTGCTGCATTTAAACGCAACAATCAGACAACTTGCCCAAGCAACAGCTGGTCCCCTCTTTCTCTCTGAAATTCCTCTCAACAAAGTCAGAGTTGAAACTCCACTAGAAGGCCTCACTGCTGCAAGTGGAGTTCTTAAGGGAGAATTCTAAATCAACTCTACTGTCTCCAACAGTAACTGGCAAAAAATTTGTGTAGAAAGCAACCTCAGCCATGAACCAACATTTGGACAATTTGCTGATTACTTGGCAAAAAAGTTTTTTGTTTTGTTTACAATGAACTAACTTTTCTTAAGGAACCTGGTTTACTTGTTTCTAATAATGAGTAACATACAATCTGATACATGTATAATTGGCAGTATAACCTTCCTTTTTAAAGTCACTTTGTCATGACTGGCGGAACAAAGAACAGAATCTGTTTACCCCTCCTAACTCAGTGGTAACAGGAAATTTCAATGAACCTGCTATATTGGACAGCATGTTTGCACAAAAGTCCTGACTGTAAGTTGTTGAATCCATATTGCCCCCAGTTTGGTTTACAATAGAAAATATTTTCTCTACTGTCTTTACCCCAACAAAAAGTCTTTGGGGAATTGAGACGCAAGGGACTTTGTATGCTTTCACATAAATGCACCTGAATATTTTGATTTAGAAACTTCATTTGTAGGAGGGAGAGTGTTCCTTAGAGAAAGTACTTTGTAAAGATTCTGTAGAATTTGTAGGCCTTTGCACCTGTGATTTAATGGATTTCAACCTGGAGGTTTACGTTATTGGAAATATAAGATCTGAGCACTTTGCTCAGATAACTAGAAGTCATAAGCCATTTCAGTCAGCAAATCACTGGAATTTTTTTGTGATGTTCAAATAACTTTAGCTGGGAAGGTAAATTTTTGAGATTTAATAATGAAAATGAAACGTCACCTTACTTCGAATTTTAATATTCTTACTATTAAATCTGAAATGAATTTTTAATTT